GTTTCTTAAACCGATGGTTGTTCAAGTTACTTAAGAAGAGAATCTTACTTCAGTCATGTTGTTGTACTTGTGTTTAGTTACACATAAAAAAAAATCGAAATCGTGAATCGGTCACATTTTATGAAAAAACCTAGATTTTTATTTTTTGCCATATCGCCCAGCCCTAGTCAGAGGATTTTCGTTCATAGGAGAAAATAGTCACACCGCTTTTTCACTGAAGACATTTTAACACCTAAATCCAATTTCTAATCAGTATCAAACTGATATACTAGTAAACTACTAGTACAAAAACAATCAAGTATGTTCACTTTTTTCAATATTTATTTGACTGATTACTTGGATAAAATCCTTCAGAAATAGAAAGAATTCCTCATTAGAACTGCCAAGAAATGATTTCTACATGGAGAGGTCTCCCGAATGTATGAGATTTTAAATGACAGTGTAATGATGCTAATTACAGTTGTGAGGCATGTTCTTTTTATATTGAAAAGGGAAGAATAATAAGAGGATATATATTTCACAGTGTGAAATTTATTATGCATTAACGTATCAAAATTAGCGTGTGCACATGGATCTTCACTGTTTAGGATAAACAGAAAAGACTGTCCTCAACTTAGTGGTATACAATATTTGTATGAAAAGGTACTCCTATCCAATTGGTCAAAAACTGTTGAGGAGAAGCCGTGGTTTAGACTTAACTCTCCCGTTATTGGTCCTTCAGTCCGTCCGTCCTCCAATCGTCCTCTCTGCTCCAATCATCGTGGACAGCGCCCTAGGAAGGGGAAGAATACCTGTTCTACTTTAATTCCTACATACACACTCACTTCTTCCTTTGTTTCCAACTAACTACCTGCGTGTGTGTGCATAACTCTTCTCCCTTTGAAGCTTTCTCATCTACGTCTAATCTATTTTAATCAACTTGGCGCCTTACCGTACCAAGACTCCTTTGGGTCCACCGGTCCAGAGGAATGATAAACAACTATGAGCCCCCTTAAGCTACAGCCATAAATCTAATGAAATTCAGTAATTTAGTGGACAAGACTTATGATGTTGCATTAGTGTTTCGGTGACTCACACAGCAAATATTTGACCAGTGGTTCAATGAACACATAGGGTGATATTCATAACTATATAAACATAACTGACATACAAGTATGTGTGCTATAAAATAAAACCATTCTTAAGTGCATAAAATAAAAATCACCCTAACACAGTATAAAATGCCTTTCACTGCCTTTTCAGTGCTGTAGTCTTTTCCTGGGTCCTCTGTGTTAGTGTTGTCAGGAAACAGAAGCTGAAGTGGAACTGCAGAACATCGCACACTTTGGACCAGAAGTGCCCAGTGAGACGCTGGAACAACCGGTACCGAGCGAGCCACTGATCCAGGAGCTTTAGCACCACGAAACCCGAACATGACAGTAGAGCCAGCAGCAGGTATCCCAACGTACGAGCGTCTCCGTGCGCGAGCTGCACGCGAACTCCCTGGTACACCGCGAGGGCGACATGACAGCCCAGCGCCACCTCGAAGCCCCGCTCGTCCACCAGCGCCAGGCCATAGCTGAGGAGAGAATACAGCTCGAGTACCACCGCATCCGTGGCGTGCCACTTAATCTGCCCCCTTTCAATGAAACGGATCCACACCAGAACCCATGCGAAAATCGGTAACGTGAACCACTGATCAAGCACTGCAGGAACGCGCCGCAGCACCGCCAAGCGCGTCCACTGCACAGGTCCGTAAAACACCGCCATGAAGGCGAACACTTGTCTCATGTAGCAGCTCGGTTCAGTTTCTTTGTCGCCTCTTCGCCACAGCCAGTACAGTCCCATGAAGATGTAAGCGAGATTCACCAGACAGTTACAGGGCATCGCCAGGAAACCTGGCAGGTGTTCAACCCGTTTCTCTGCATAATGCTCATAAGATAAGCTCACCTCAACTTCATTAAACAGGCTGGTGTTGGCCAAGGCGACACAGATCACGAAAGGCAGCGATACGTGAAACAAAGCCGACTTCATGTCCGCTAATGTCACGAAACCTGTCTTTCAGAAAAAAACTTGCAGACTTCCCTGAGAACTGCCCCTGCGCCTTCTTCTTCTTCCAATAGATTCCAGCAGCCTGCACACTTAATGCTGCCCCCCGCTGAAAAAAACGAAACAAACTTCACTTCTATCAGCCAAACATTAACATGGGTCTCTTGGCAGTTTCATTTCTCTCAGCTCCTGCATGACCTGGTACCCACTGAAAACCTACTTGTTGTTAATTCTGTACAAGCAGCACAAAATCTCCCACAGGAGGTCAGGGCGGGCCATCTCTCAGAGCCAACTAGGCAGCTGCAGAATCAGAGCCAACAAGTTTCCCCCTCAGCTCCCCAGTCACTTGCAGCTAAACTACAGAGAATATTTACACTAATGTTGTCTGTATGGGTGTTTTTCATCCATCCACACACTCAAAACCTTGAAGACTAACACTTTCTAATGGACACTCGTACATATAAAGTTTCATATCAGGAATTTTCCTCTTAAAGTCAATGATCCGATTCAAAGTGCTTTAGATAGATATTCAATTTTATTGTCATTATTGTCATTACACATGTACAAGTAATGTACAAGGCAATGAAATTGTTAGGTTTCGGGCAGGGAAGGACCCAAAATGTAGACACGGTCTAGAGTCTAGTGTTTATTCAGTTCAATATAAAAGAAGAGGAACAAAGGGGCAAACAGATGCTCAACCTGACAGGACGTCACAATACCTATACAAACTAATTTCTAAACAGAACTGTCAGGGAGCTACATGAAACAGACTCTAAATAACTAAAACAAACCCGGAGAACTAACCAAGAACCTTGCTGACAGGAATAACTCAAAAGAACAGCCCAAAAGTAACCAGGGCAGCTGATACAAAAACTTACAAAGCAGACAGGCAGGCTGTGGTACACAGACATACGGATGATGGGGACAGTAAGGCATGGAGAACAGATGAGCCAGCAACCAGACTGGGGGAAAGAGGGAGTACAAATACACAAGAGACCAGAGGAAAATGAGAGACAGGTGAACACAATGAGTGAAGATTGTAGATCAGAGTAAAGCTGGGGCAGGTGAAATGACAGAAAACAGGAAACTAACCAAAATAAAAGCCTCAAACAGGAAGCAAGTCCATGAATCATAACTGAAATACAGTTTAGCGTCTAACCAGAAGTGCAATAACAGCAGTGCAGAATGTGCAGTATCTACAGTATGTACAGTCAGTACTAATTTACTGATAGATATGTACAGTTGATATTTACAGTAAGTTATGTAAGGTAATATACAATATACAACAGACTTTATGGATTTAAGTTACAAGTAATGGATAAAATACATTAAGCTTATGAAATACTAGTGCAATGGTCTGAAATGGAATGAAATGGCGCAGAATAGGAAGATAATAAGTTACATGAGTTAACAGTTCAATGGATGTAAATAATGTAAAGAATTGCATTAGTTATCTGTATGTGTACAGTGTGCAAATGAATAATGGAGCAGCATTCTGTGTTTGGAGTATGTGTGAATTAACAGATCGCTTCAGTGTTACAGGTAACAGAAATGTATTGCATTAGTCCCCGGAAGAGAGATGAGAAGGGGTGAGGTGTGTGTAGTGGTATAGAAGAAGGCAGTGGGAGGTCAACGGGGGACAGAGTTCAGTAAAGAGACAGCTGTGGGGAAGAAGCTGTTCCTGAGTCTGCAGATTTTGGTCCGGAGGCTCCTGAAGTGTTTCCCAGAGGGTAGGAAGTCAAACAGTTTGTGAGAGGAGTCCTTCAGAATGCTGCAAGCACGTCAGAGACAGCGTTCCTTGTGAACAGCCTCAATGGCTGAAGTGGAGTCCCTGTGATGTGTTGGGAAGTTTTCACCACCCACCTCAACACCCTGCAGTCGGAGACAGAGCAGTTTCCATACCAGACTATGATACAGCTGATCAGGATGCTCTCAATGGCACAGCGGTAGAAGTTCACCAGGATGGCTGAAGACAGGTGGTTTTACATACAGTGCCTTGCGAAAGTATTCGGCCCCCTTGAACTTTGCGACCTTTTGCCACATTTCAGGCTTCAAACATAAAGATATAAAACTGTAATTTTTTGTGAAGAATCAACAACAAGTGGGACACAATCATGAAGTGGAACGAAATTTATTGGATATTTCAAACTTTTTTAACAAATAAAAAACTGAAAAATTGGGCGTGCAAAATTATTCAGCCCCCTTAAGTTAATACTTTGTAGCGCCACCTTTTGCTGCGATTACAGCTGTAAGTCACTTGGGGTATGTCTCTATCAGTTTTGCACATCAAGAGACTGAAATTTTTGCCCATTCCGCCTTGCAAAACAGCTCGAGCTCAGTGAGGTTGGATGGAGAGCATTTGTGAACAGCAATTTTCAGTTCTTTCCACAGATTCTCAATTGGATTCAGGTCTGGACTTTGACTTGGCCATTCTAACACCTGGATATGTTTAGTTGTGAACCATTCCATTGTAGATTTTGCTTTATGTTTTGAATCATTGTCTTGTTGGAAGACAAATCGCAGTCCCAGTCTCAGGTCTTTTGCAGACTCCATCAGGTTTCCTTCCAGAATAGTCCTGTATTTGGCTCCATCCATCTTCCCATCAATTTTAACCACCTTCCCTGTCCCTGCTGA